AGGTCATAGTGATGCATTGCTAGCATTAAGCCCGAATCAGCATGCTGGTCAGAGGTGCTGAAGCATCTGGCGGGTCTTTAGACCGTTAACACGTTTCATGCGCGCGTCCATATCTGCTTCCGCACCTAAGGATGTCGGGCCAGCAAAACCAATCAGATTTTGGGCAGTATCTTCATTTTTCGGGGTGGCCACCTACCAGCGACGTAATCACTCTGATATGCGTCAATTTATAAATGGGGTACACAGTAACCATTTTACAAATCGACCCGACCTACGACTTATAACAAAGATTTTGTGCAGAGAAAAGCATCTTGTCATTCTTTGTGAGAGATGTAGTGACGACGACGCTACAGACAGTATCACGAGGTCCGTATAGATCTCAAATTACTTCGAGCTCCGCATGTGTACCATGATTACAGCCAGGGCATGCTCTATAGTAGGAAACCCGGGTCATGTACAGAAAAGTCCCACTCAGCAGCTACCGGTAAGTGCGGGAATCGATCTGTAAGCGGCTGCTGATCGAGACGCTTTCTTGACAGCAGACACACCCTTGCCAGCAAAAACAGCTTGCAATTTTGTGGTAGACGTCTCCCGACAGGTACAGCTTACACCAAGACCTTCCGCACCGACCCTGCATTTTTTTGATGATACTGTGACCACCGCATGGAATAGGGAGTACAACGTCTTTTACACGAGGTCTAATAATGTACAAGAAGTGGATTATCGATAAGCGTGATAGTGACGATGCACGTCAGCCATGCTATGGAGGTTGGGGGAGATCTCTTGACTACCGGGCAGCTACGCGTTTCTTTTAGATGTCTCGCATGTGATAGTGCAAAGCGACTGCTCACATGTATCTCGGCTGAGACGTACGAAGTATCATAGAGAAGCCGAGTTTTCACAGACACAGACGGCAACAATTTGATTTAATTGTGTCTTGTAGAGGTCGTGCTTCATGGGACGCGGTCCTTACAAGAGTGACTCCATCTCAGAGAGGTGGAGCCCTCAGCATAGAAATGCTGGCTTTTACCATCAGCATCCGGGATCGTTAAAGCTGTGGAAAGTCCGGAGAGATTCTGGATCATTGTATAGTTTAGGACTACGTAAATCTACCAAAACTACCAAAAAGGTGGACAGTATGTGGAGAAATTGAAGAAGGATTCTTGAGACGATTAACGAATTTGGGCTTCTTGCAATTTTGATACTAAAAAAATGTTAAAGGGTATTTTAGACCTTCAATTAAATTTTAAGAATTTGATCCTTTTCCGTCCTGGTACTGGGATAAATATATTTTTTTAGCCTAAATATGGCATGTGGGCTGACAGGAAGTCTAAAGCGGTAAGTGTAAAGCATTATCCTCTAGTGGAGCATTAGTAAGAATAAACTCACGTATTCTAGTCGTCAGGAGCCTATTTGGTGAAAGATATATGTACACGACAGAGCGTAAAATTATTCACACTAAAATTAACAATGTTGCTAAGTGGCTTGAAATCTGGTCGGAAGGTAGTTGTGGCAATGAGCTGTAGTCTTTTAAGAGGTTGAGAGGTAATAATCGTTCAGTTTGTTTTTAGCGCGTATTATTGATGAAAAGCTAATTTCACCTGTATCATAGTGTTCCCAGTGGGGAACCAGTAAAAATGGGAGGCTTGGATTCGAAAGAAAAATGCCTGTCCCTGTCAAATATTGCCATATTTTGAGAACAATCGTGCTTCAGAAAAGCACAGTTGATTGTATTAAGTTTGGTGCTCTTGACTTATCTAACCGAGTCAAACCTCAATGAGTGATAATATACACCTTCTTACTATTTTCGGCCTTCCAAGAAGAATACTTTGGGAGTGGTCAGTACTGTCCCAGGGACTGTTTGTTACGCCAGAGTATTGACCGTATCGTGCGTCACACTATTTTGACGGTATATTTATCCAAAGTCTTACATAGCGCGAAGCGCCGAATGTGATGATCAATTTTAATAATTCGGGTAAGGCATAAATACGTAACCTTAATCTTATGCCAATACTGATAAGTGTGTAATTGTAGCCAACAAGATCCAGGTTAGACAAGAACCAGGTTGGCGTCGTTTGAAGGCTAAATCGGCAGCCAGGTATTATGCACAAATTATGGCCACTGTATATTACCTTTCGAAGAAAAAAGTAAATGAGACACGGTCTGGCCTACTACTTGCACAGCTGTTCCAGTACAAATTATACTGACATGGCACGATAACTCACTGACATTTTTGAATTTCAAATGGTGCTACGGTGTAGTAGAAAAGGAAGCTCTGAATTTTAGGAAATAAAGCTAATGCGTGCCCAATTTAGCTTTTTCGAATCCAGATCAGCCTTGAAACGCTTTTCGTTAGCGGTACTTAAAACGCCCTTGTTCGTAAAATCATAGAATATGAGGCTCCACTTCGGCAAGATTTCCCAGGTGCCGACACCCCGCACGATCTAAAGTACTAGTTTTTGGAATGATGGCAGTGTTGATCGTCGATGCGCGCTTCTCACTACTAGAGACGACCAACCTCGCGGTAAGTTTGACCCATTTTGGTAGTTGCTTCAGCTTCCTCATGTAGACAAGCGGTACTATAAATGTCAGGAAACGAATGTGATCGACCTCACCAGGACGTCCGCATTGTCCTTTGTGCCTTGAAATCTTCAGCATGAGACGACGCTCTGAATGCATTTTGGTTTTACTGAAGCTCGTTTGAGCAGTTTAAGAGGGTAAGATGGCATATTTTTATCATTCAGTGCGTGAGCTTAGTTTGATACGTATCAACACTTTTTCCCGCTTCTGATACATAAGGCACACTTCTCGTGTAGGTCAAGGGCGATCCCAACTCCAGCCGCTATAAGGGTAGGTAGTATCATTGGTATGAACTGGGAGAGTGCTCGCGGAGCGAAGGCCCGCATACTTATGCTTTGTTGGAACTCTGCATCAGCGCGGCAAGCGATTCTGACGTAATCAAATCGTAACCATGATGTGCTGATTAGGTCAAGAGTCAGTGTGCATCGTGCGCTTCAAGAAGAGCAAGCTGGGCATTTCATGTCAGACCCAGCTCGTCAAGTGAATCAGAGCAAGCTGGGCTTTTCATGTCAGACCCAGCTCGTCAAGTGAATTACCTCGACACTCGGACCGAAACGTTCTTGAGTCGAGTCAGTCAAAAAGATCAAGCTATTACCTTGGACTTGTTGGGTCAGATGCGTTAGATCCGTAAGAATACTCCTGGGTAACTATGCCTATGGAGCAGGCACGGTAAAGTGCAGAGGAAGGAGATGTACTGCAAGCTCAGGGAGAACACCACTTTTACGAAATCTCTTCGAAAGTAAAATAGGTGTAAATCTCAGTGTTGTCATCTAGGGTAAGAACTGGAACTTTGTGTACTTAACCCTTACACATTTTTAATAGCATGGGATCACACATCAAATTCAAATTGAGGACGAGACAGCGTTCCACGCTGCCAAAGCTATTACGTTCTTGTCAATGTTTATCATCGGAGTATCTCGATACAATCATGTTAAAACAAACTCCGAAAAGGAGGAGTCCGTAATTTATGAAGCTGCGAGGCGCACATGAGAATATAAAGATAGTATATTTTGGGAGATAGTAAATTCATAGTATTTGTTCTCGGAATACTAACTCGCAATACGCGGTTGAGGCCCCCAATTTTGCTCCAGGCATGAGCGCACGAGCCCAACTGCGCGTTTGGTGATGCTAGCTCTTAGTCTTTGTGAGCTACACGATAACCACTATATGTTGACTATGAGTTCTTGTGATGCACATTTATAATGTTAATTATTCTTGTACACATATATAAATTAACATGTTTTTCCTAGTCTTATAACAATAATGTCTTTCTTTTCCGACGTGCGGCTAGGTAACTCAGGCCTAGATATTTGTTTAATTGTAAATTTGTTTTATACAGCCCGTTTTGACAAATTTTATAACGCGCCAAAAATTCTTGAGGTGAAAAAAAAGGTTTTGAAATTAAGGACCTTGCTGGATTCCGATGGATTTATCATAGTGAACTATCTGGACTATCTGTACGCAATAAATAATATATCAGCTCAGAACGTATTTGCGAGTCCATATGAAATTCTTTCTAGCTTGAAAAATTAGATTTGAATCTTGCGCATCATTCCGCCGCAGCTATCCTGAACACTCAGAGCCCAAAAACAACTTAATCGCGCAGCCTTGTTTAAATCCTAGCGCTCGAGAAATACTCTGGTATACAACGGTAGGCCGGCTGAAAAGTCAGGTTTTTGTTATTTTTGGGGACCTCCATTCTTTTTCTATCGGAGAGAAGCGGGCAGCATTTTAAAGCTTCCGTTACGTCGTTTTGTTTGCCAGCAGCAGACAAATAGTTCAAAATCTCAGCCTCCATGCGTTTGAGGTGCTCCAGATCGATCCGCTTCTGGGGATTGCGCATTTCGCGATTGTCTTAATGACATTGGGTTTGGTATCACTCGCGCGCTGCAAGCAGCATGTTGAATTTTCAGCAAGAGGCTGCAAGCGACTTTCTTGCTAAGCTCGTCATAATCAGTCATTCAATAAATGCTGTCATCTGCCTGCATTTGGTGTCTGCTAATAACGGGTCTTAGAACTTTTATATTGACATCACTTCTCCAACAATCACGCTTCGCACAAAATTGCCCAACGTCATACGTAATCTGCGCTAAAAGCATACATTCCGAACACACTCGACTTCGCATACGGCTGCGATCCTCACAGCCTCAACAGTTTGACAATGGATGTGACCAAGTTCTTCACCCTGGCGTTGATTTTAAGGATTTTTTCCGTCAAAATTGTTAAGAGCATCCGCCTGCTGTCCGCGATTTTCCAACAAGGCTAACATCCAGAACGTCACCAAGTCTTACACTTCAACTTGATCCTTCTGCCTATCCCGACCATCTCATTGCAGCGTGCAATTACTTGCAAAAGTGCGTTGTTGAGGATTCCGCACGCCAACAGCTTTGACGATGAATTCAGCAACATTTCGGTGTTCTAGCCGCTGTGCAAAGAGATCCTCAACGCGGGATATCGAAAAGGAATTTTTGCTTAGTAATCCTAACACAAGACATTGACGGGCTATCTGGAAAGAGACAAAGCCACAATTTTGTCTGTCTCGTCCTGCTTTTTGGTTATTGCACATTCTGTCTTGACAAAGCTTTTTGATACGATCGAGACTCTACCACTTGATATCGACAGCTGACACGTGCAATAAAGTACCGTGTGATGACTATTCACATGCCAACTTTCGCTGTGGCGTTCATGATCGATCCCATTAAATTTGACATGCGAGCTCTGCTCTCTCTTATTCACGAGCTCCAGCATTAACGAGGGCTGTCTGATTGCTTCTATACTACTTTCCTTAAACTCGGCTACAAATCGCTTCCTGAACAAGCCGCAATGATTTGCGCCGGTAAAGGCAGTAAATTGGCTTATACTCTGCAGATGGATCGTGCGTGCTTCATCGTGACGCGATGTGGGCCCAATTCGCTACTATACAAGTCAAAAAATTAAAGATATCTTAGATAGAAATTATATAATTTCTATCTAAGATATCTTTAATTTATTACTCAAGCTGACGCCGTTGCTTCTACAGTGCCAGGTAAGTTCGCCGGACTATGAACACATAGCTTTTGTGCTTTTGTGGGTGTCGCTTTGTAGACTGGCCTAGGACCGGGAGTAACTTGATTCGATACGCATAGGATTGATCCAAGGACGCCGAAGATTGGTCACTAAAGTGGACGAGCAATCACACCACTGTGGTCTGATAGTTGGGTGGGAGGAGGCCCTTCTGACTGAAAATCCCTATAGTGTAATGGAGGGGTACGGAACCCGGTTCCAAAATGGGTTGGATGGCTTTTAAAAAACTTTGTCCTAGCTTATGGGTTTGGTAGCTGAAATCTCTTGTGGGTGCTCGGCAGTAATGCGATGACAGACGCAACCACAAGACCGGCAAGCGCATTTTCAGCAAACTGCGCATTCAGCTTAAATGCAATGCTGTCGAATGTGATTGCGTACAATCTGGTTATGCTCAAGTGCACATTGGCCAGGAAGAAGGCCGGACATTTCTTTATCACTTGGCGTTGCTGTGGTCAACCAACGTCGGAGACTTAGACACATTGAGCGAGGATGAGGTCGTTGAAGACGATTTTAGCAGCGGGAATGCATATCTATTGACCTGTTCTTTGACGATGGGATCGTCCGTGACGGCGATATTACTAAGCAGGGCAATCTCAAAATTTTGTATCAATTAAAGTAATATTTGCTCCGTTACATGGAGGAAGTATAAATAATTAAATTCATGTTTCGCATCCAAGTCCTCGTAAGAAAATGTGGGCATACAGCGTAGCAGAATCTCGCTCAAAAGCGATCTATAGTGTCTGTCAAGTTTGACAACAGTTTTGTTAGCTATAGGCCAAGAAAATAGCTTTTGCTACTGCCAGTTTAAGCTTTGAAATTTCTGATCATTTCTAGTACATCTATCATAAGAATATTAGACGTAACTCTGATTATCATTGTACAGTGCAGACTGAGCAAATGCTCGGTCTTGCAAGATTATTTCTCAATCTGGGGCTAAGCGCTATTTGCTTCATCTTTCTTTACCTGTGAGCCGGCATAGAAACCAAGCCGAGTAGCTGTATAGCCACCTAATTTGTATGCAAATGTATATTTTAGTCATTGTTTTCAATAACTCAAATTCAGTGCTACAATTGCTGATAGTAAGAGTTTTGTCATTTTGTCTTCCAGTTGATCGACAGTCCGAGCTTGCGTCCACAAGTTTTTGATAAAAACTTGATGTGAGAGTAAGCTTTGATAGGATGATGTGATGCCATAGTATCAAATCACATGATTCCGGACTCCTTCGCTGTATTATCTGCTAACTGTTGAGCGATGACTGTTCACTTAGAGAGCATGGTCATAACTTCAAAAGTTGATTCGAGCCGTCTGACATTGGCGACGCGGATTAGATTTGTTCGAGTCGTCTGACGTTGGCAACATAAATTAGAGTCGGTCAAGACGAATCGTTTGCAAGATGATGCCATCCGGATATTCCTTGGCGTTATCTCCGGATCAGTTTGTGCAGTGTTGTTTTAGTCCTTATGCGCGACTCTTGCTGGACGCATATGATCAAAAGTTGGGGACCATTTGTGCTGCGCTTGTCAAGCTTCTGATTGAGTTATATTAGCTGCATCTTTACCAAGGTGTCGGTGGTACAACTAGCTCGAGTGACGATCGCCACTGTTACTTTTTAAATTTATAAGTCAGTGCTGGCGGGAATTGATTGCGTTACCATTTACGGTCTGATGAGCAAGGGACTCGCCAAGTTTGAACGATTTGAAAGCCAACTTTCAAATTAAAGGCTTGTTCTATCAAAAAGCTGAAGAGCAAGAGAGGCTGTGCATCAAGTGATGGTGATTTCATGTCTGATACAAAAAAGCTGGCACTCTCGTACGATCCAGGGCACTGGAAATTTCGCTATCGCTCGTGTTGTGCCTGAAATAACTAGAAGATCTCGATGTAGTTCCGACCGAAGTTTCACAATTCTGAACAAGTATGAACGTTTTGTGTAAACTTGACACAGGTATTCAACATGTTCGAAAGCAGAAGAAGATGCAAATGTGGTATTTAGTAAATCACTACGATTAAAGATGCGTTCAAATCAGTTGTGTTCAAAGTCCTTAGCAATCACAAGCTTTAAGCGCCAGTTTTGCTAAACCAAAGGCAAGAACTCAATCTTCTAGCACCTTCCACATCATCTCGAATACGGCAAACGAATCGCGATTACGTTCAACACAGTGTTGACCAGGTCCTCGAAATTGAACGCACGTTGAAAGCCACTTCAATCTATTTGAAACCCTGCAAAGTCTTCCCTTGGCATGTCCGCGAAACTAAGGTGATTGATTGAGATTCTTATTCGCTTAGCTCCGCCGTACAGTTTGTCGGTCAAATTCATCGCAGGGGATGCATCAGTACGTCATCCGACGTGACTACAAATGCTCACTTACTTCTGCATCAGAATTCATTTTAAATCTCAGCGTCATTTCGTGCTCAATAAAGCAGCGGATCAATCTTCATGTCCTCGACCATTTTTCTACCACCAGCTTTGCTATCACTATGTAGATCAATTTTTCGTTGGTTGCGTCACAAAACTGGATACTTTCGGGCGTAAATCCTTTCTGACATGGATGTGTTGTTTATCTTAAACATTGCATTGCTAAGTCGAGCATAAAGTGCCAAAAGAGATTGAATTTGCTTTGCTGCAGACATATTCATTAAAGCAAAGGTGCACAAGATACGGTTGTGGGTCAAACTGTCTCGCTAGGCTCATACTTTCCTCAGAAGCAGGCGACAGCAATCATTTATGTTCTAGAACTTACACAAAGAGTCTATGGTCATGGAAGTACCTATGAGTGCAATCAATTATTGAAAGCCAGAAATTTTTCTAGTGCGAAAAAATGCTGCTGTTGATCGACGTTCCACGCCCCACTTCAAGGAGATAGTCTCATTGATAAGCTAATTCCACTATCGACGAACATTAAAAGCGGCTCGAAATAGTATCAGCATCATTGATTCGTGGGTTGCAAAATTACAGTATGTCGAAGTGATGAGGCGAGTTGTGACACTAACTACAGTACCATGTTCTTGGTTTAACTACAGCGATGTGGTCGATAGATGCGATGTTGTAATAGAAGACGACGATCTTAGCGAACTGATTGAAGTCGATAAAAACTCGGGAGCAATCATAGACAGTTCCCAACTCGCTTTTTCTTTTGCTATCTGTATGCAGCACAGACAAAACCTAAGCGAACACTGTTGAAACGATCCCGAGTCGGAGACATGCACGGTCATCTTCTTCATCACGCTGCATTTTGAACAAAACATTTTTCGACAAACTTGACACATTACACTCGATTCGGAGAACGGTAAAGCAAATTTACCGAAAATTTTAGCACAAGTCTCACAACTTTGAGGCAACGTCTGTGTCGTATCTTCAGCTGGTGATTTGCTTGCGTGTTTCATAAGCCATCGAAGTTTTTTAATTTGCGCATATTCGACGACAGCAGTAGTACAAATGACAGCATCCGCTGCAATTGCATCAGAGAGACGATTTGGCATCTCACCGCGAGAGTTGAAGAACGCACGACAGAAAATGTTGACTTTACCTGGTCCTGCTTGACGAAAAATATTGCAGAAACTTAGAACTCCACGAACGATTCCCAAATGAGTGAGCTCTGGGATATCTCGTAAAGTTATAGAGTGCATTAACATGTAACCAACTCTTTCACCTTTCGAGTTACGCGTGAAGCCCGTCGATTCTAGAATGAGAAAGTCGCGTTGATGAAAAATTCCCGTGAGCACAATTGGATGCTCTTTTGCAAACCATTTGATCCCAAGGAATCGATAAGGATCTTTCCGAACTGGCGATCTGATTGTCGCAATAAGGCGAGCATCATCGAGTCTATCGTTAATGTGTGAGCTACGCAACATCCACGCTTCGTCGGTAGCTGCGATACTTCCAAACAAACAGTCATCAACAGTGCCACATATCGTACCATGCAAAGCTATGAGTGCTACACCAGGAGGTCTCATTTTTTCCATTATACTGTTTCCAGCAATTCCAGACGCAGTCGAAGAGGATGCTTGACCTCCAACTTCCAGTTCGACACTGCTGTAGCTACTGACACTACCAAATCGAGAAAATTCATGTTCTCTTGGCAGTGATGGATGATGAAGTACTGGTGGTAATTGTGTAGTAGGTGGACGCTGCTTAATCGCTTTTTTTCGTTGTCGATACACTTGCACTCCCTCTTTTGATCGAATGAGTTTCCAGTCAGGGTATCCAAACTTAGATCCCTTGGCTATGAAACGATCATTTGCTGCTACAATTTCTTTCACGACGGTGTCTGCTTCCTCAATAAAAGCAGCACGTTGTTCTTCTGACAACGTGACGGGCGGAAACGCGTCTTTTGGTAATGTGAACTTCATTTAAAGTCTGGCTGTATTTAGGTGAAGTAGCTGAAGCAGGTTTGAAAGTGAGAGTAGCATTAGACAGGCTACACCGCTGCAACACCGAGGATTACATTCTACTGTCCTAGTTAGCACATAGAGCTTGTACAGTACAATCAAATGACTGTATAGATAGCAATACGCGTCTCTTCTGATCCTTCACGTTCCGACAATACATCAAAATCTTCTTTAAATTAGCTATCAACATCATTTTCAAGGAATCCGGCGACAAGAACAATCGGCCCAGCGCTAAGATTTATTGCTTACTGCATTAGTAGTACAGTAACAAGGAGTTGTGCGACATTCTTCTCTCTTGTGCTTTCTTACGACTTAGGTATCTATCGTATATTGTCTTCGAGGTTTGTCAGCTTCTTTTATTCAGGTGGTTTATTAAGAACATTTGTTGTCTCGAATCTCTTAAACTATTCACAACATATTGCAGCGCAGGCAGAACTTGAGTTGAAAATTTATTAACAATCATACAACCAATAGCCTCATTAGCATTTTAAGTAGCTACTGTACCAAGAAATGGCTCTCGGAGATAGAACCGCCTCATTCACTCGTAATCATACATTTGGACTACAATCCAGTTTTAGTATTCTCTGATTCTCGAAGATTGCATATTCTAGGCCACGAATAACAATCCGAATCTATGGCTGTGAATTAACGAAAATGTATCATACATGTCCTGGTGGTAAGTCTTCGATGCACACTTTAGCTTGAGATTCATGCACAGCTATGTGTGCGCATTAGCTCGACAGTTAATGGAACGATCACGGGCCTAACTGGTCTCATTACCAGCAAAAAAGAGAGACAGTAGGCAGATTACAACGCTAATGAACATACCACTAAAACTGACGTCTCATTCTTAATTCACTTTTGTGAAGTTGAATGCATATGGAGTGACGTGTCGTAGAGAAACGTAGAAATCGCGACAGCACAATATAAACTTTAAGGACTAATGCACTAACGATGGAAAGTACCTAGTCCATAACTGCGCAGCAATATATCGTGAGGATGAGGAGAAGTGTGTGACAGCAAAGCCAATATAAGTGAAATTTTCGGCCGCTCAAAGTGTAGTCCAAAAAAAGTTAAACAGATCCACTACTATGTACGAGCCTCGTATTATCGACATGGAATGAGGATCGTGCGATTCTGGGCGGCTTGACTGTAAATGGCTGTGACATTGCTGATGCAAATACTCTAAATCAAAGCTTCTTCTTTGCATTACTGAACGTAAATTCTTTATGTCAAAGATTTTTTATGCAAGATGCATGGCAACCTCATCGCTTAAATCGTATAGTGTGATTGGCGATACGTTAGTAATCAGCGGTGCATGAATTATTGTAGCGCTAGATATCATATAAAACTGATTACAAATTTGAAAGTTTGCATCAGCATGTTCTGAATTAAGCTGGTAAAACACAGAGCTGCACAGATTAATAGTTCTGTCTATACGAAAAGAATCAAGTGCAATTCGCACTAAAACTATTTGTCACAATGTTCGATTATTATCTTGTTTCGGTAGAGGCTCTTATCTCTGCTTCTGGTAGATGATCATAAACCTAATCTTTATGCGTTTCGTAACGTCAAATAATTCTCTGTAAAAAGTGCGCGGCAACTTCGTATCACTTGGTTACACTTGTCGTCGACCCTACAACTGAGTTGTGTGAAGATTGTATCCTCCATGAGGATGGAATACAAAATGCTTGACTATCTGCTTATGAGCCTTTTATCTATCTTGGGTCTCGAAAAGATCAGGAAATCTGCACCAAAGGGCCGCAAGCAGCAGTTGCTCCTCTGGCCGCGCTCAACAGCTTTGATGCTTTGGTGTGACAAGCCCAGGAGCGTTTCAATTGGGAGATAGTGCAGAGTCAAGATGTTGCCGCCGTAAAGCCGCTGAGGTTTAATATTCAGGTGTTCGATAGTCGGAGCGAAGTAGATTTCTCCTTTTGGATGAGAAACTGATCACAACCATGGGTTTAAAATGTTTAGCGCGTCGCGTATTTAATCTCAAAGCTAGGGACCAGACGTGCAATAAAGCACGAACATGCAATGACTCGGTCAAAAGGAGTTTTCATCGTGGGACAATTTGCAGTGACAGGTGTTGCAAGTTAATCGCACCGCCACACCAGAAAAATCGTTCAGGACTGGTGGGTATGTTCAGAAATTCAGAGCTTTTAAATTCGCAAACGGCGTCATTCCCTTTTCCAAGAGTGGTAAATCCTATGATCATATAACGGATCTTCGAAAAAAACCTCGCGTGAAGACCTTCCGCATTCACCCTGCTGCCTTCGAGAAAACGGCGGTTGCCGCATTCAACGCGGTGCACGACTTCCGTACCATGAGAGCAGAATGTGTTGTTGGAAACGTAATCTCTGTGAGCATGAAAGCACCGATGAGTCTCAGCTATTCTGAAGAAGAAAAAGTGATATCTGAGCTGTTGAACAGGTCCGCGACCCGCAATGACGAAAAAAATATGCGCCTTGTACACCCTCTTCGCTCTAAGAAGGGTCAATGTTTAGCAAGGGTGGATGATAAACACTTCGCAGGAAAACGGCGATTCCCAGTAAGCGTTAGCTGCCTTATTTATAAAATGGATTTATCGTACTCGTGCAGGTTGGGGTAGAAGGAACCTAGCCCCCCAAAAAATGGCTCTCATTGAGAGAGGTGGGGCTCATAATATATGGTTGTTGGTTGCAAATATGGATGTATCGGATATTGGGAAGCTGTGGGTAATCCCAATCTGAAACGGAGTTACATATACCCTAATGCGAAAAGGTAGGTCACACAAGATGGTGTGACCGTAAAAGGTGTGGATTACACAAGTCAGTGTCACAAAATGTTGTGGCTACACCGTAACAAGAAGCCAATACGTGGCGGGGCTACCATTAATTACGTTTCACTATTTAATCGATATAGGCGGCTCGGCCGCAAATAATACAGTTTCAATTTTGAGCGGAAGAGTTAATTTGCCTTGGTTAAGGTTCTATGTACTCTTGGAGGTAGCGAATTGCGATCCGCTACAGTCGAACTGGTTCTGGTATAGAGCGAAGGTCGGTGACATTTAGTAAGCTTCCTCTGAGCAAAGAGCTACGGCAGCCCCACTGCAGAATTGACTGAAGGGCATCGTGAAACTATTTATGGGTATGACTGTCGAAACCAAACCTAGGAGACAGTTGTATAGATGATCATTAATACGAATACAGTCTTGGTGGGTCTTGCGATTGGTATACTGATAAAAATCGAGAGTCACTTTGGTACTTCAAGTGGTGTTTCAGGATCTAAAATAGCACTAAACGCTGTCAAGCTTTAAATCAAGATACGAGATATGACGTCAATGTAGTCATGGCGTGGCTGAGATGTCACGAGTCATCGCCCGACTGTGAATCGGTAAATTAGATCCCACGCTCTCTTTCTTAATTGCGAATGAACGAGTCAGGAGATCCTTCTGCAAGAAACAGAAGGGTTTCGGCGCCGGCACAAAACTGCGACAGATTTCGTGCTGAACATGGGCTTTTCCAAAATTGATAGCTACGGCTTTCTTGGTGAGCTCGGAAGCCAGAAGCGGCAGCGAGCCAAACGTTAGAAAATAGATTTAAAAAGGTAATTGTAGATCGCAGTCTTCAAAGGGCATCTTTGTCGAAACGAGAATGACCAGCTGTCTGTCAGGGTTTCCAGAGCATATCTCTTGTGGGACGGTATAGTACAGCCGTGAGATTGGAAGCGACTGGGTGTCGCAATAGCCCTTGAAACAGCTGGTAAGGTTAAAAGCGAATGAACGTCCCTAGTTCGAGGGTCATGCTGTGGCATTTTTTCAGAAAGACGGAATGGGTCATCGATACCAAGTAACTACCACTCTGCGAAGCCCAGCGCGGGAAATGACTGGAAGTATTATCCTTTGCAAATGAAGTGACCAAAAGAATCATAGGGCTGTTATTCTACCTTACTACCTCCGACAGAAGTTCCTTACTATACCTTGTTGAATTTCACGATGTGGTAAGGGGTGATCCATCACTCGTGTTACACTGGGAGGTAGTTTCACGAAGTTGATTTGGGCCTGAATCCAAATATTACATCAAACGACAATAAATCTTTTCAAGGGAGCAATGTATCGTTACTGCATTTTGCTTTCGTGCGAGGCACGAAGAGTGTTTAGATAAAAAAAACGTACTCTCGGGGTCAACTATCTGTGTCGACGAGTGGCAAATGAGGCAAGCATACACAAAACTATATTAGTGCCAACATTCTAGCGCAACCGTCGAATCCTCAAAGGATCTGAGACGAGCATGGTTTCCTGTAATTTGATCAGCGATCGAGTGGATGTTTATTATCCACTGATACCTAGAAAAACAGCGATATACCTTTCACCGAGGTGAGTACTTTGAGCTGGATGCTTTAGTGGTGGCAGCAATGAATTGGGACTTTCAAGTCAGCAATCTCGTGATGTAGCTATTCAGACCACATCATGGCTCATTTCTCAGGACATTTCATTCATAAACGTTTAAAGTGCATGAAGTCGGATGTGGAAAACTACATTGCCTATGTGAGCGACGCTCGAGTATAAACCTCTTCGCCAATAAAAGCAGGTGAGTTGTTGTGCACAACAAAATCCGTTCCGTAAGTGACTCATCAGAAAGCAGGATGTGCGGGTGGTCCCGCACAGATAAATTTATCGGCTAACAAGTTGATCTGTCTCGAAAACACAGCGTCTTGGATTTGACAACCACTTGCAGAAGTATGGTCAAACTGTCGCGACTAAACATGATTTACTAAGAAAGTCAAATGATGCTAGGCTGCTGTAGAACAGGCGGCTTTATGGCTGTAAATGGAATCCTTTTGTCCGCCCCGAAACTGGCTCTTAAAAATCTAAATCAGCTATTCCTTTTTGTTAATGACAAACCAGCCCATGTAATGAGCTGCGCTTATGCTTAAACATATGTCAATAGTTTTAACGCTTACTCATGGTTAAAAAAGCTCAAGGCTGGATAGGCTTGTATACGTTACTTCCGCATGTTTCACTACCCCAGAAGTTTTGGTTTTGCAGCGGGAGATAAAACTAGGATAATGCGCAAAAATGGGAGGCGACGTTGCACTCGCTGATTAATGAGTAAGTCATAAATTGAGCGTAATAAAATTAGCAATTTCACTAAGAACAATTCTGGAATGTTTGGTAGGCATGGATATAGCAATAAAATTTGCGGTCTAAGGGTCTGAATATATTTGTTTGCATTTTACCAACCAGTGCTCTAGCTCCTTTCCTAGAGCGACGTCGTAATAGTGATTGGTTCTCTCAGTGCTTCGACAATGTTACACCCCTTGATGGGTAAATAAGAGTTTTGGTTGCACACGGCATGCCTGGTAGGTGGTGCTGACATCTGTTCCTTCGTCACAACCAATCCGGAAATACCTCGCATACATAAAGACTGTTTAGAAGTGACCGCTCTCGCGCGATTGGTTCCTGTTGCACCACGCTCTAGTTACTTTTCTGGTGAATCACTAAAGTATAACTATCCTTATCTTGTTAAACATGAAAAACCCGAGAAGACTGTTTCACGCACTCCAAAGTATTCCTATCGACCTTTGGTTTACCTTATCTTAGCAGATTGTAACTAGCAAAATATTTCAGCTGATGAAAGATTCTGGGTGAGAGAATAATATCTTCGGCCTTATGACCTCCTATTTTGTAACCCTATCGACAACAAAAATTATTAATATTCGTGTCCAACGGCTCCGAAGACTATCACGATATACGATAAAGATTTATTTAGTATCATTGTAAAGAAGACATCATTCTTATACACAGCTCATGTTCGGAAAGTAAATCACGTACTTGCTACCTAAGAGGCGCTCAATTTGGCGTCTGGACGGTGCCTGTTAAATGACGTTGTTATATTGTATTTTGTATATTTACAAATAAAAAAAAACATTTCTCGCGGAGGTGTCCTGCAATTTGTTGTACTTACGATTACTCACCACTCACTCAGAAGGTACAGGCTCAAACGTCAGAATTACATACGATTAACCTCATCCATGCCGATGTTGAAAATGCTGCGTCGCGCTGCGTATCCGAGCATGGTAAAACTATGATAATACCAAACATATTCGCTCTACTTGCCTCCTCCTCTCGGTAAATCCCTGAAATGGAAGGTCGGGCTTCTACTCTGGGTCGACAGACGAACTTTTTGCACGTTTCCAAAGAGAACAAAGCTTAATGAAACCAGCTCAAAAACACAACGTTTTACATGCATAGGATTTTTTGCTCTGACCATCAACGTGCTAGGAAAATTATGACATTAGTTTTAAAAGCATCGTGTAGTGTCGTTTTGCTTCCAAGTGTCGTAAACAGTAGGTAGTGTCACTGATGCCAAATACGGGTATAATATCCGCGCGGCTTGACATAGAGACTGAGCGGATGTTGAAGTTTCCTTGCACCTTTTTGTAACACTTTCAAGTCATTATGAGAGTGTCACCCTGTTTAATCTTAGCCTAGATGTCAATGTTCGATCTCAGATTAAGTATGGGAAGCTGACCTTCATGGGCTATGGATTATTATAAACCCATACTTTTTAATGTGACGCATTTCTTTTGTTGTGGACCGTTTGTGAGCACAAAAACTGCAATGGAGCAGGAACTACTTTGTCGTAGGCGTTTTAGTCATGATAGCTTTGGTGTAGGCACAAGACTGATCAAAACATTATAGCGACAATATTACCAAATGCCTTAACATAAGGAAAAAGGGCTGTGGATTGTGACCTCAAAAGTGATATCAAGAAGATGAATATTTACAGCTGTTACCCGGGATATATGAGATTTTTGATATATTAACCGAGTGTATGTCGCGGTCTTTAGGGTTTGATGCCGCACCAGCGAGTTTAAGAAGCTTGGCGTAGCGTCCTCTACAGAAAGACCTATCGGAGACAGAAAATTGCAACATTCAAATGATAGAGGCAAGCTCTAATGTTTTCATAGATATATTAATACCTGTCATGATTTGACGTAACTCTGGGTAAGCAATAACGTCTGGTGGGCTTTCACGGTTTTAGAGGCTCCATGGGTTATAAGGAAAAAGACTAATTAAAACCGGGCATTCACAGGGATGTAAATCTTTTTTATCATCCAAAGCAAAAATATTTTCAGCTTTGCTTAGCGGTCGAGTGACCTAGCTGTTTAGACCCTATAGTGCATATGCATCAATCTTTTCAACGTAATCACGGTCGGTGCAGTGCACGTAAAGTTGAACGTAAACATACATATCAAACAATTGAATACACTTCTTGAGTGCAAGCGATTTTGTTTGCCATTGCTGAACTTGACATTATCGCTAAAAAACTCCGTCAGGAGAGCACAATTGGAAAGCATATCACGCTTAGATGTTTCAAGGATCAAAAGCAGAGTAATTTTGCCAGTAAGAAAATCTCAAATGGATTCGAGAAAGTGCTTTGGTCTAGTATTTGTACAAAGCAGTAAACTCAACATTGACATGGCACGCCCCCTCACCAATATCTTTGATCTCTTAAGATATTAAGTGGTGCTGGGGTGTGGCAGACAAGTCGACCTTTGTGCTGAGAATTATAGCTTGATACGCGCCCTTAATTTCTGACGTCCGCATTAGTGTCAGTGCTCTCATTCCGTATGTGGCGCTCCCGTATCTGTCAAAGGCAGCGATATACTCCAAGCAGTATAAGTGCACCATTGTGTTTGGGCTTTCCATTGTAAAATTAGCAAAAAAGCGTCACCTGGTTCATGACGAGACGCTTATACGGTGACTTACGATCTTCTCAACAGGGAACACCGGCTTAGTTCTGAGCATTTTAGTGCATACAGATCATAAATCGTTGTGCAAAACAATGTTTCCAGCACTTTTTTGCAGAGGATGGCGAGACAACAATCCTTTGAAGCTTAGAATATTCTAATAGAAAGTTTTAGAGGGATCGGATTAATGTGATATCAGCGTTTCCGGGATTCTGAGCTGAAATCTGTCACGTCATGCATCGATGAGATAAAATGGACAGCTTACGGAAGCGAAGATAGCTCATGTCTTGCAATGCTCAGGCATCAAAAGCCGTAGGGATTTCAAACTCGGATGCCTTGATCGGCGCGTTCGGTCTCATATTTGCGCCGCTAATCTCTTTGTAAATGTATTGGTGTGTGAGTTTCTTTATGAGGTGGACCTAAATTACATATTTCTGCACGAAACACATGATACGGTTTGGTGGCCACCTCGGTAGAGAAGTGTTATATGCAATGGTGAGCGATGAAAATCCATGGGTTACATATATACGAATAAGCGATATTTACACAATAATCCTTAGATTTTAGCAAACTGGCCAAGGCTGCCGACGCATGTGGCGAGGGTTTGATACCTGACAATGCGATACGACTTTGATATTGAGCTTTCAAGAGGTGTAGATGAAACAATTGTTGTGGTCTCCTTATGTTTTTTTAACAAGATAGCAAAGCATCTCTGCTGTCAGCGACACCGATACAGGTGACGATACAACCAAGTGATTCATTAAATTAATGCTGGAAAGATGGCCAGCATCACAAATTGCTATTTTTAGTCGATTGTTACCCAAACCTCATGACAAAAGACTGCACATATCTGCCACTGGGTATCCGAAGACAAAAGCTCAGAAGAAACGCGAAACTTGTGAAGATGAGGGAATCCCCCGGAGCACTTGCGCACGTAGCGATTGTGATGCTGAGGCAAAATGACCCTACTGAATGAGCATGCCTTGGATAATGCAGTGAGAATATCTACAAGCATTATTTGATATTTATGTTTAATTTTGTCGATTCCCGTCATATTTGACTCCGCATTGGAGTGTCCCCAATCTTGCTGAGGAAGAGGCTGTCGAAACGATTCGGCTTGCCGATATCGGCTCGATTGCACTTTTGAGCAAGATTACATATTTTTACCTCGCCAAATTAAGTATCATGCACTGAGTGTTAGGCACTGTGACTGGAAAGCGGGATATGGAAGTCAACACACGGAGATCAGAATCAGACGAAACACACTTGCACTAGAAGTCGGCAAAAAGATATTTTAAATGTTGTTGGGCAGCCAAAATGATCAAGTTGAAGTCTCCCACATTGAAATTGCTACGGGCAAACGCTTGATAACCTAAAAGCAATGCGGAGACATACAGTTTTTCGGAGGCTTATCAAAGGCAACGATGATTCCGCTATTATCCAGATTTTGATATGCAAAGCACAATGTTGAAGACAGTGTTATGGCTCGATCATCCCCTGTTGCTAAGCTACCTTTTGCTCTAGAGCAACCATGAATTTTGCGCCGCATTGATCATCTAATTGCGCAACTTACCGAACGCATCTAAAAATTCCTCTCGTCAGTATCGAAAGCTCTGCTAGACGCCAAAAGACAATCGTTGTGTCGCTAAAACCGAGAGGTTTCATAAATGCCATCCCGTAATCTTGTTTTCAGCGGGACCTATTTGGTGCGCAAGTCGGACCATTTCCATGTGTAACGAACAGTTCCCACGAGGTTGTGACCAGTATTTGGTGGGATGGAAGAGTTATCTTCACTTCGAGGTTTTAGGGAGTTGAGGGTCCAGATCGACGTTTTCCAAAATCGCTGCTGCTTATGACTTGGCCTACTCTTTATCGTTACCTCCAATATTCAAGCGACAGGGTTGCTTAGCGTAACATGATCCCACAAGCGGGTAAAGACTGGTCATGTTTCAGCTTAAACCTTGCCCAAAAGCTGCATCAGCAGGCTCGGATGAATAGAACTACTTACAACAACAACAAAATGAGGGAGGAAGAACCTACTTGTAGGCCTATGTCGCGCTATGTTCCTTACAAAGTCAAGTAAAACAAAGATCTAGTTAAAGTCTGCTTTACTTGATTTATCACACAATCTCATCAGGTGACGCCTTCGCTCAGTGCGTAAATAGGGTAATATATTCTAACTTTCTCACGTGAGTGTTAAGACTAAAGGTATCAGCCTTATTAGGGTTATAGATTCACACGATAGCTGCTGCTCTAGGCACAAGCGCTACTCCTGTGTTTAAGCATGCGCTTTCGAAGCAACTTTCACGACCCAATTTTGTTCACTGCTTACAGATATAGCCCGCACGCGTAGGCGTATAAAGACACAACCGTGGTAAGATGGGCAACCTTTGAAACGCCATTCGTTAATTACCGCTGCGAGGGTCGCACCACTTCTTGTTCCTTCAGATCAGCATTTTGGCTGCAATTACCAGGTCCAGATCATACGTAACGACCTAAACTTCGTTGTGAGTCTAGCTGTGGGGTACCATACTCCACCGTTTAAAACGTACACAGAATTCACAACTCATTTGGAGATGAGGTTGAACGTAGATTACGCCTAAACTTCGGGGAGGTTCTTACAAATGTGAGCGGCTTTGTCGTATGTCTCTCGGTGAGGTTTAGAATGCTGAAGAAACACTGTTCGGGGACAACTGAAACTTTGATGACTAAGGCGTTGGTATTCGGGGACGCGACTACTTAGTGGATCGTTGATCCGTCTAAAGAGAGAGGACTAATGATGTGGGTGGTGCTCGTTAGAGCATGTACTGTCATTTGCAAGTGAAAGAGAAGAGCTTCAGGCGTAGTGGGTGTTCGTAAAGCGATTTTTTGCGACGTTTTAATATACAAATCAAGTTCGACCTCCGGGTTTGTACAAATCTGGGTATGTACCGATTATAGCATACACTTATTGCACTTCGGGCTTAAAAGCTCAGAAGTACCAACGTAAAGTGCCATGATGAAGTATCTGAATAGGTACCGGTTCGAATGAGAGTGATCGATTCCATGAAAAAGAAGTCGGAGGACCTTGGGCTGTTAGCCTGACGCCATCCGGTAATTTTATCGTACAGAGTAAACAGATATATTCAGTACTAATGCTAATCTCGAGTAAAAATGCAGATTTAATACCGAGTTACTTAAGCGACCTTCCCCATCCTCTGTGCGTTAGCTCGTATATACGGGGTATGCGTGGTCAACACAACCCTGTTGCATGATAAACTTGAATATACCTATCGAAGATTACGCTTGTTGTAAGATATATAACGATAAGCATTGGTGTTCGGCGTTACAAATATCGATGGCTCGTAGTCACATTCTAAAAACATTATGCATCCTGTGTTAAAAAGCATAAAATAGGATTCCGTTTGCAAATTTTGCTAGACAGTTTATTGTCAACATTGCGAAGTGACGAGAAATTTCGCTAACGTCGACTATGCTATCCTCATCCTTATGATAAAGAACATACCAACGACATGGCATTATGCAGTGTTAGAATAGGTACTTCCCATCACAGTGCAAGAGGAACGAATAAACTTGTAAACAAATATTGTATCGTCGTAATTTGGTAGCATGTGATTGGACATCTTTATGTCGTTGTGTGTTACATTCCACACTCAAGTTTTAATTGCTGCTCATGTATGTAGACAGTGGTATATTCTTGAAGGCTCCCATGTACGAGAACAAATATCATTGTAATCAGAAGCGCCTGGGTCATCTGTCTTTTTTCTTTGGTTGGTAAAGATAACGTAAATGTTTATAATCGTTCCATCAAATTTGCTCACGTTTCAAGCGGGATGGTATTTTCCAAGCCAACCAATCTCATGCTAGAAATTTGTATCGCAGCAATACCACTAGACAATTTCTTTTGCTAGTTCACAGCCATAGATCCGGATAACATTTCGTGGACCAGAAAGCTGCACCTTCACGAAATACTGTATTGTAGTTCAAATGTAGGATCATGAGTCTGAGACGATTATGAGGATCAGTGTTATTAACTGGCTCGATAGATGCGAATATAGGAAAGACCCAGATATCAATGCACAAGCTAAACTTGATCATTTGAAAGAAAATGCTGTCCGATCTTAATCTCGCCACAATTACATCAAACTTTAAAACTACGGTGCCTTATTCAATCTCCTGTTTTTGAGATACTATCTAAAATATTGGATATAAACATGCCATTAAACATGTCATTCAACACTGATACTTGAAGAAGAGTAACTTGGTAAGGGATAGTCGTAGTTTGGAAACATCCTTCATGCATCAACCTATGCGATAATTGACAAAACGATCTGCATCTTCCTGATGCCAATAACCAAATTTTCAGCATATGAAGTTCAAGCACTCAATGTTACTTGTTCTTGCAGTCTACTACCGAATTCCTGTAACTTGCATATATCGGACGCAATTTGTTTTCGTCTGGTGGACATTCTGAGAAAGAGATTGCTTGTTTTTATGGGATGTTTTGATATGTTAAGCATTCTCTATACAGTAATGCAATCGTACCGTACAAGTGACAAAGCCCTTTGCATTGTAGCGGTGTAATCATTCGATTGCCACCCTCACTTTCGAACCTGCTTCGGCAAATCCACGCAAAGAGAGCAAAACAATGAAGTTCACACTACCAAAAGACGCCTTTCCATTCATTACATTGTCAGAAAATCAACGCGCCGCTTTTATCGAGGAAGCAGACACTGTTGTGAAAGAGATTGTGGCAGCAAATGATCTTTACATAGCCAAAGGGTCTAAGATTGGGTACCCTGACTGGAAATTCGTTCGATCAAAAGAAGGAGTGCAAGTATATCGACAGCGGACGAAAGTGATTAAGCAGCGTCCACCCACTTCGTCTTTACCACCAGTGCTTCATCATCTGTCACAACCACAAGAACACGAGTTCTGTAGATTTGGCAGTGTCGATAGCTACAGTAATGTTGAATTAGAATCAGAAGGCCAAGCATCCTCTTCGTCTTCGTCTGGAATTGCTAGAAATAGTATCATGGATAAAATGAGACCACACGGTGTAGCACTCATGGCTTTGCATGGTAAGATGGATGGCACTGTCGATGACTGTTTGTTTGGATGTACCGCGGCTACCGACGAGGCGTGGATGTTGCGTAGCTCACACATTAATGACGGGCTCGATGATGCTCGCCTGATTGAAGCAATCAGACTGCCGAGTCGTACAGACCCTTATCAATTTCTTGGAGTCAAATGGTTTGCAAAAGAGCATCCAATCGTTCTTACGGGGATCGTCCATCAACGCGATTTTCTTATTCTCGAATCCACGGGCTTCACGCGTGACTCGAAAGGTGAAAGAGTTGGTTACATGTTAATGCACTCCATAACGTTACGAGATATCCCAGAGCTCACGCATTTAGGAATCATTCGTGGAATTATGAGTTTTTGCTTTATTTTTCGTCAGGGAGGACCAGGTAAAGTCAACATTTTCTGTCGTGGGTTCTTTGACTCTCGCGGTGAGATGCCGAATCGACTTTCTGTTGCAATTGCAGCAGAATCTGCGATCTGCTGTACTGGTGTTGTCGATTACGCGTACATCAAGAAACTTCGATGGCTTATTAAACACGCGAACAAACCAGCTGAAATCACGACAGAAACGTGCCCTCAATGCCCTCAACGGTGTGAAGCTTGTGCTAAAAGTTTGGGCAAATTTACATTACCGTTTTCCGAATCGAGTGTGGTGTGCCAAGTTTGTCGAAAAACGATATGTTTGCAATGCAGCGTGAGCAAGAAGATGACCGTGCATGTGTCCAGCTCAGGATCGATCCAACAGTGCTCACTGAAGTTTTGTCTATGCTGTATAAAGATAGCAAAAGAAAAATCAAGCCTTGAATTGGCCATGATTGCTCTCGAGACTTCGGCATCACATTCGGTGGGTAGTTTGAACGAGAATGTGATACAGTAGTCGCATTGTTCATACATCGAAAAATACCCTCTGATACCCGTCCTTACAAGGTACCGGTACTCAGAAACGTGATACTGTGCCAGTACCGGTATATGCTACTGACTAAAGTAGCTAGGTATACCGATACCAGCCCATATTTGCCATGTTTATTGGTAGGTATCGTTGGTGTTAGATTCCGCTAATATTGGGAGACAGCTCGCTACTACCTTGCCAGCACCTAAAATAGATATTATTGGAGACAACGCACATGAAAGGACAAGAATTCATTCATATATGCAACTCCACATTGGTTTTGACAAGTGTGTATTTTTTCATCGGTAATATGTCACGTTTTTTTGGTTCGGTTTGGATATCCTTCTTCTATGATCACCCCAACAGAGTCTTGCGCTTTGTCAGCGTTTTGCAAAACTCCAAGGGAAGCAAAAGTGTATTGGTTTGTTGTTGACATCGCACAAGGATACTTTGACACACGTACAACGGGGTAGCCGTGCACTTTGCGCAGGTAATGCTCAAAGTCCTTGCTAATAAACTCACAGATGGTGAATTTGTGCGTTCCTATCAGGGAATGAGGAACTGTATCCATTAACACACCTGGTGTTCAAGGTGCTCTGTCATAACAGAGTACATATATTCACGATTAATGCTATTTCGACTAATAGCAAATAATAACGTATTTTATACTTTGATATTAAATTTTTTGTCTTGAGTGTGCCTAGCAAGCCACAATTATCAATTTTTCGGACTTCCATCGTTTTCATAGATATCATTATGTTGGTATCGATGAGAGTTCACAATTACACACAATTGTATCATATATTTATAACAATTGTGCAAGGGTGGGAAAAACAAAATGACAGTACTTGCCCTTTGCACTACGTCTCTAATAGTGGATTGGTGCGCAAGATACTTACCTCTTTAACCCCCTTCTCACGATGTGAGCCACAGCGTACACACATATATTTTTTCAAATATTGCCCAAGAGTGAGCTCTAAATAAGTATCTAATGCGCTTGGAGTCTCATTCCACTCTTTGCACCCGATGGTGCTTGCTCCTATGAACTTCCTCGCATCGGCAATTCTCCCCTTTACATACTATAATAAAGCTCAGCGAGCATGAAAAGTCTTAATCCTTGCACCCGCCGACCGAAAGGCCAGATTCCGTGAGGAAACCGGGATAAGAACGCTCGCAGCAGCTTTTCGAGTCATAAGCTGACATCAACGCCCTCATCGAGAGGTATACAGCAGAGCCGTTTGCTTAGGAAAAGGCATAATCTATTTTCTAACTTTTTCTATGCACAAAATATGCCTTCCATAACCTTTCACTACCGAAGGATGCCTGCAGCAGAGCTCGCGACGACGCCTAGCTCCTCGCTTTTGAGCTGGGTCTTGTTCAGGGAGCCTAGCTTGCCCGTCTTTAAGAGCAAGAGTTGCATACGCCGTGATTATAAATCTATACATCCGATGTTGCTCGCCGCACCTTTGCAGAGTGTGGGTTGTCCGCTTGAAGTGAAAGTATAGTTGGCGCCCGGAAGTCGCTCAATGATCGATTTTTGACCCTATCGATCACAACTACCCGACAGTACTGCCTGCGCTTGGAGCAGCAGCCGTTGCGCCTATTCTTACCCTCAATGAGGACTGTACCTTGGGTGCTGAACGAAGGCAAAAGTACCTAAAAAAGGCTGTACGACGTTTATTAGCCCAATTTTCTAATCAAAATGTTGTTGTTTTAATGCTCGGTAAGGACTATATTGTCTCACTCATCCCACAGCTTTACGAGTCAGCTTTAGTGAGGCAAACGTCCCAATCGAACGCGATTTGTAACTTAACTTTGCCAGCAACAAAAATATGCAAGTAAAATTTCTGCCTGAAGTTCTTGCTGCTAATAACCCTGCCTTTCATGAGACAGCTACCTCAGCTACCGACCAAGTCTTGATTTTGGAGTCAGGTCGGGCCTCATTCGCTAGTGGGGAGTGGCGCGCCGGACAGCCTTGCCTAATCTTCTGAGAAGATAACGACAATTGGTATACCAGGTCGTCAGCGGCAGGTGTGCCTGAGAAATCTTTTTGGAGTGGGACAATGCAATCTCATGACTTTTTACGGTGATGTATTCCTCCCATTTTACCATACAATGAAAACAGTGCCGGTAAATCCCCGGATCACTATCCGATCAATCTAATGTTTCACCACTCTTTGCTCATCGAGCAGAGTCGGCAGAGGCCGTAAGTGTCTCGACTGGCGTTTTTTTCATTTCCTCAAATCAAAGCGGCAATCTGACTATCAAGGCAGGCGCTGGTGCTGGCACGGTTCATCTCTTAGATATGATCTCTAAGTTACACAATCACATGAGATTCAGAATCAGTTGAATGCACAAGACCAAAGAGTATCTGCAAGGATGATTGAGACGCTATTTCGTGTTTGCAGCGGGGCTGCCGTAGCTTTGCGCTTAGAGGAAGCGTAAGTTAGGTCACCGACCTTTCGTACTATATTTAAAACAAGTACGAGTTTAGCGGATCGCAATCCGCTTACTCCAAGAGTAATTACAACCTTAACCCAAGGCTAATTAACTCTTCGGTTTAGATTCAAAACTCATTTTTATAGATTTTTATCTGCTGCAAAACAGCATAATATTAAATGCATAGATTATCCTAAATATGTATAGTAAAAATCTAAATACATGTATAACTACTGGCTATCCAGCCCCGTACCATATTCTCATTTGGGTGTGGTCACACCATGCCTATCTGGTGTGACACACACCCCTGTTACCAGGGTATGTGTAATCCCATTACACTCTCACCCATTAAGATTGAAAACATTTACAGTTCCATTCGATTATGCCTGAACGAGGCTTGGGTGTCCGTCAGACACTGCGTTGAAACGAAACGACTTCCGTGCTCAGTTAGCCCTGTGTCAATGATACCAATGTCTCCA